CAGCAGCCTTCAGATGCCAGGAACAACAAAGCACAAACGTGGAACGTCTTAAACCGCCGAAGCACGTCAAACACGGAGAGTTTCTGGCAGGCAGAAAGTGTGCCTCGCCCCGAGTGCCACCTGGCAGCAAGAGTAGGGCGGAAAGAGGCTCTTTACCCATTTTGATGGCATCTCTCAGGTCCATATCCCAGAAGGGAGCTGATGCCTTCAAGCATGCGTGTTTTCGATTGGGGAGGCAACCCACCTGCGAGCCTTGGTAACCAGAGCTCGACAGCAGGGCTCTGGTACTCTGGTGATGTTGGTGTCACTGTCACTTCGAGACGAGATCGAACAGATCCTTGTCTGACCGTGATGCGCTCTGATCCTTTGCCCAGGACGTGCTCGCAGATTTACGTGACAATGGCGTGCTCTGGCTGATTATGGTCGGTTCTACGTTTAAAGATGTTAGCTTGAAGCATGACTGAATTCTGTTTTCATTTGCTAAACTGCTAAGCCGACGATAGCCGACCAACATGGGATGCCCTGCCAAGTCGTTGTGCCGTGACTCCATTGACTTCCCCCAGCAGGCCTTGGTACTGGACGTGCAGCTCTGCCGGGACCTGGAGCCCTGTCTTATCTTCCTCCGCGAGGCTCCTATAGGCATCCACCAGGCAGGGCTCGGGCTGTGGTTCGGGCACCTTGCATCTGCTTTTCTGCAGCTTCACGCAGGTAGTGATCTACGATGGCTTCTGGTTCTTCGGGCAGGACGACAACTATCGAGCTGCAAGCCTGCATGCAGTATCATCCAGTGCTCCGGACCTGATGTGTCCACGTCCTGCAAAGATGTGAAAGCTTCACGTTTTCAGAGGTCAAGCTCCAGGCTGCTACGCAGCGAATGCCGGAGGGCATACTGCAGGACCAGGCTGCAAAGATGTGATCGTCCAGAAAATGCTATCAATCTCCCGCAGAAAAGCCAGTGGGGAAACGCTTCAGACTTGATCGACAACACAGTTAGTTAGCTGCTGTCTTGGGTAGGTCCAGCTACTGCGCCTCATGCGTGCGCTTGCCGCCTTCTGCTCTTTGCGCGGTCGTGGCCTAGCAGACCTCTTCCTGCAAGAAGACTTGGCCGGTTGGCTTTGCAGTAAGTCCTCGTCTCTTGCAAGGCCTGGATCATGATGCAAGCCGTTCCCTTTCAAGCCTCTCTGAAACCCCCGACCCGGTACTTCGTCACACCCAGAAGCACACTTCCGACGTTCACGGTGCTGTCCTTCATCCAGACAGTTTCGGAACGTGCTAGACCTCTCGTTGGGCATTTTCGCCCGCCACTTCGCGCTTCCCACTGTCGCACCCCAGGTGTTGGAGCTCACTGGCCTTCCCCTGGGCCGCTCCGCGCATCACAATGTCACGGTGCCACTATGCCACTGCCTGGCGGCTGCGCCGGCACTGCAGCGGCTGTTGCCCGCAGAAATTGGAACATCAAAATTCACTGCATGCTCCCCCACATGTATCGGACGCTAAGGCACTTGGCCGGCTGTGCTCTGCAAGATCGCGACTTGGCCAAGCAAACTTCGCTTTTCTTTTAAAAAGTGGATTTTTGTTGCGATGCGAGTCACAGGCGGGCATGACGAAGCCATTCCGTCTCACTGTTGTTAACTCCAACGCTCAGAAAGCTCAGGTGGGCTGGCTCAGATTTTGCCGTATTTCGGCGGCTTGGACATGGAAAGGCTCAGTAGCCTTGGCCTTCTCTCTGCATCTCTACGTATGTCAAGGATTGCGCGGCAGGTTCATACATGCAGTTCTTCATGCAAGGCACGTGCAGACCCCAAGGTCAAGTCTGTATGCTCGAAGGAGCATTTGTCAAGACTTGCATGTTACCAGTAGGACGAGTTGGCATGCTCGGAAGACCCAGGAGAGATAGGCCTCATTTTGGTCAGCGCTTGTTTGTCGGCCAGGTCATGTAAGTACCACCTGGCTGTGGTACACCTAATGCTTTAGTGTATGGCAGGTGTGACGGGATGTGATGGGTATGACGTGGATGCGATTGCATTTAATTTTGAGACAGGTACATGCCCACGAACATTGCAACGACACCATGCTTCGATATGTTTCGTCTGTGTCGAAAATGGATGCATTAGTTCGCCTTGAGGGGTTGCAGCGGGCCTCGGCGGTAAGTAGCACTTCATGCAGCGCGCAACTTCTCCAAACGACTTTACGAAGCTACTCCGAAGTGAGAGACCCAAGACAAAATCGTAAAACGGTCAAAGGTACTCGGCTCCCGAAGCTGTCGCACCTATCGTTGGCGCAGAATCACCTGCGAGATGCTTTGCCAGCAATCTGTAAGCGTGGAGAGGGCTTCGAAGCAGACAGGGCAGCGCTGAACGATCGAGGACCTTCGACTGCTGGCTCGTCTGCTGCACGTTCGAGCGCAAGCCCAACAAAAGCAGCAGGCTTGGAGAGCACGAGATTACGTCGATTACGTGTCCGTTCAATACCTGTAGTAGATGGTTTGATTTACGAGCTCCATGAGTTCTATAGAGAGGAAAGTGCACGCATCGATGAGCGAATTTTGCAGGTGGTGCCGCTGAGTGTGCTGGACCTTTCAGGCAACCCACTGCTGGGTGCCATTCGCAATTCGCGCGAGACTTCATTGAGAATCTTATCTCCCGCAAGCAGCAGAGAGCGTTTCTGTGGATGATGACACTCCAACAACACAAGCGAACCGGTTGTAAGTTAGTGAAGAATTGGTCGACGTTCTGCCATGCTAAGTTTGTTTCTTTCACACCTTAGGATTCTGGCGACGTGACCAGCGTGTCCCTTTGACAAGGGAGAACTTGCTGCGCGTTCTTTGCCAAGCTTTGAGATCTGGTCTGCTCATCAAGACCGTTCGTCTTAGGCCGGGAACCTTCCTCTCACTGCGCGTACAGACAAGACTGCTGCCTCTGAACCGCCTGGCCTGATTCGGGCAGGTCCATGTGTTTACGTCGAGATGATCTGCGCCCACTGCTGCAGTTGCTGCGGAGAGAGCTGGCGCATGAATACGACGGCTACAACCGACGCTTCCCCCTGGCTGAGTTGAGTTTGGAAGGCAACGATCTGGGTGATCAGTTCCCGGCTGCCATCGCGAATGCGCTGAGAGAGTTGTCCCCTGTCGTTGGCGTGCGCTGGTCATGTCCTGGGCAAGGTCAGGGCTTGATGCCAGAGCGACCTCCTGATGTGCGCTGCATGCCGCAGTCACCCGCAAGAGTGCTTCGAAAGCCGGAGTCGCTGCCAGACTTGCTGTGCACCGGTGGCAACGACATGCCAGAGCGGGATGCGCTCAGCGAGGGAGATATCGAGGACAATGACGTATACAGCTTGAATCTTCGGTCTCGCCGGGAAACCATGCTGCGATTCCGTGAGGAACTCAAAATTCTGTCTACGATCCTAGGGACGAGAGAGAGAGGAGCTACAGGACGAGACAGCGAAGTCGACGACCAACGTGAGCCGCACGGGCTGCAGCTGCACGAACGGGACGAGCGGGAGTGGCAGACCGCGGGCGAACCTGTCACAAGGGGCTTCGGGCCTATACGTCAAAGATTGGCAGAGAATATGGTGAGCTTAAGCGAATCCGAGGAAGGCGGCATTGCCGTGGGTGCCATTCCAGACATGGGTTTGGCGTGTGGCTTCGGCCCTCCAGTCCCTCCCGGCTCCTACACGTCCACGGAGGGCTCAGAGTTAGAGCCCTCCAGCGATCCGCAGAGGCACGCAAAGATGCAGGTCCTTCGAAACGTGATTTCGGAAGGGCGGCAAAGTGACATCCCTACAGATCAGATGATGAGGTTTGCCCTGGATCTAGTGAGCTCAGACACTAGTCTCAATGCTTTGCCAGAGCCTCTGAACAGAGAGGCAGGCGAGCTCTCTAGTCACTTGCCAGCCGATGGGAGCTCCCAAACCGGCGACAGGCCGCGACGCTCGTATTCCGTGTGAGTGCAGTGCATCGGTCTGAAGCCTCGTTGCTAATGCCACAGCCACTGTTCCAAAAAGAGCGGCCTCACCTGACAGCATCCTCAAGACTGGGCCACTCCCGTCCCTTTACAGACCTCAGGGTAACATGTCCATTCAGCGTTTGTTTCCCCTTGTCGGGAATGTGGCAATGCTGTGCGTCAGAACCAAGGCCGCATACAGCCTGGCGGCAACTTGCCATCATTTCTGCATGGCCAAGTCAGCATCTCTCCTCTGGAGGCTTCGGGCTCAGTGTGCATAAGACGTGCAAACCTCGGCAGCAACAGCCGCCATGCAGGTGGTCGTGGACGCATGAGTTCATGACGCAGCAAGCACCAGTAGCTCTTTGCGTTTAATTCAGAGCACTGCATCAGGTCCTATGCACATTGCACGCAAATTACTGCCAAAGAAATATGGTTCCCTGTCGCGGTGGCTGCTTTGCAAGGAATTCGAGCACCTCGGGTCTTTTTGTACAGCGCCCCTGCCTGCGTTTCTGATTAACCGAATTGTGCGGGACTGACACACCAAGAAGCCGCAAGTCAAACACTCCTGCTGAGAAGCATCATCTGGTTGCCAGCACATAGCTTGGACCGCTCATGGCGGCTTTCTCGTCGCCTCTGAACCATAATGCTCTGTGATGGTAGCGAGATGGATGAAAGTGCATCCTGCTCGTGCAGATGCATCTCGTGCATGTCGGGTCGGTGGGAAAGACTAAACTCGATTCTCGAAGGCTTTCAAGCTTGAACCATCTTTCACCATTACATGAAAGACCTCGCTCGTGACGTCGTTGGCATGCGTCTCGCGTGCCGTGCTGCGTGGCCTTGTCTTTGGAGTCCGATCTTCGCATTGGGCAGGAGGACGGGCAGAGGGTAGGCATCGTCACTTCTCTTGGACGTGCAGGATGAGTTTGCTCTTGCAGCCCATGGGAAGGCTAAGTCGGACTGGCGGCACGGTAGGGTCATGCTTTTGCATCTTGCCGCAGACAATCAGCTTGCAGTTTCGCTTTGGAACGTTGTCAGCATTTGCTGCTCTTGTTAGAGGTACACGCTGCAGCCCTGTTATGGACCAGATCATTTCACCCTCAATGTCCGTTGAGAAGGCATCGACATCCAGATTTTGTGTTGCTTGCTGCATTGCATCGGCCCGGCTGACAGACTCTGCAACGCATCACTGGGTAGGTGGTTGGAGTCGCCCTTGCCAATGCCGCAGCTAACCAGCAAGGGTCCGGAGCCTTCCTGGCGTAACTAGCTGGAGCAAACAGTGAGCCGACTCAGCACCTGAAGGCAGCTCCGCAGTACAGCATCGATGGTGCCGGCTCCAGCTGCTGCTCCCACACCGTCGAGGCCACGTTGAATCGTCCAGCTAGTCACTTAGTCGCCTAGTCTGCGGCGGGCTCGGCGGCCGAGGGCATCGTGCAGCGACGTGGTCGGCGGGGTGTCTGTGTGCAAGACCAGCTTGTCAAAAAGAGAGCTCGGGCCTGGACGTCCAGCTCTGCCAAGCTCGAAACTTCGTGACAGCCCTGACAGCACTGTGGCCCAAGGCCACAGCCAGTCTAAGCTCGCATCGAAAAAGCGCAGCATTACTGAAGATGCCCCGCAAGGGAAAGTAGCTGCGACCGCCCTGGGTGTGCGAAGTGTAAGTCCAAGTCCGTTCAGGGTACGGCCTGCAGGCTACGATTGCAAAAGGCGTGCTGTTGCATCAGCAGTCTGGGCTGCCAAGCTTGGAGCGGAGAATGCGATCCGCCTTGTCAGTGCCAGATTGCCACAGAGCGCGGCAGTAAATCAGCAAAGCAGCTGAACATGTCCAATCCAACTCTGACAAGAGGGAAGCTTCGTTATGCAATGAGAGAGCATCGTCCAGCTCAACATCAGTATTTTGGTTGGATGGCAGAGACACCATGTGTCGTGACCTAGCAAGCGTTTAGAGAATTGTTTCTAAAGCCCTAGCTGTTGACGTGTCTGCCTGGTTTCTGCCTCTGACTTACGGAGGGTTCTTCGTCATCAAGTTTAGCGGGAAACTCACCATGAATGTGGGCAAATCATGGTTTAGGGCAGTTGGGCAAGCCATCGATGAAGCAAGCAAGAATGGTGAAAGATGATCGAACGATGAAGCTACATCGGTGCTAGATAGCCAACGATGTTCGCCCAGCTGGCCCGGAGTAAACCCGGAGACGTGACAAGCACGATCGCGGGAAATTCTGGCAATGCTGGTAGACAGATAAAGCGCGCTGGTTCATGCTGATTCTCAACAAAGCTTCGAGGAGTCGAAGCAGGAGCTGAGAAGTGCTATCCACAGCTATGCTGCGCGTGGAAAAAAGAGTCATTCTCGATTCGTCGTGCTTGGTATGCCTAGTCTAGGAGTATCTGGTGTCTCGCAACAGGCCAGCTCGCCACTAGGAGTTCAAATCTGCTCCAGACTGCATGTTAACTCGCATCCTTGTCAAGCCCTGCCAAAGACAGATGCAGGCAGCTACAGTTTGCAAACATTGAAATCGACCATGGCCAAACTGTGCAGTCCAGCAATTTGTTGGTCTGGCATGAGCAATTCGTGCACGCAGTCGCACGCAGTCATGCACTTTTCATCGCTTACCTCAGTGTATCCAGTTCCAAGCGGAGTCGGCACAGCACCCTTAGTGGAAGCATTACACAACACGACATCCGACCAATGCCAGTGGGCAATGTGGAGCTTGCTGACCTTGCTTACCCTGTCAGCGTGGCAGGCTGGTAAGGCACAGCTCCCGATAAACTCCTGCAATCCACGGCTGTATAGTTGAATGATTTCAGCGTGCATCTGCTTCCGCCCTGAAAGACGCATGCTCGGCGCCAACCTTGCAAGCTGAGCGCTGTTGCGGCTGCTGGGTGTGAAGCATGGGCAGAGCTGCATGGATTAGACCTGCGAAGACTGTGGGTATCTAAGACACGGGATGCTGAAGATTTCGAGTGTGGTCTTGAAGAGTACCAGTGTCTTTGTGCATTGTTGTCTGTCATAGACATGGCCTGGCAGTCATTAGGATTCATTAAACGCGTACCAAGTTGGTGGTACCATGGCTGGCCTTCGCAAAGATGCCTGCCGAGCGCAGCCCAGAGGCCATGACACCGGGCTGTGTTTCTGGCGTCAAGCTATGTCAGACTGACGTGGAAAAGACACGTTTGTCGTTTCTTGCGTTCTTGTAGCAGGCGGCCGAACGCAGGCAGTACGGAGACCTCCTTCGCTTGGTGAAGAAGCGTGCTTGGCCAGCTCTCCCAGAACATCTTTCTGGCTTTTGTAGTTCGGGTATCTTTGAAGCCACATGCCACTGGCGAGGCCTCAAAAGGTCCCGGAACTTTCCACTGACAAGATCGGAAGGGACGAGGCAAAGCGTCGAAGCTGCCTCGTCAGATGCATTCCGCGAGCCGCGCATCTTGTGCAGGCTGCAGATGGTGAAGACAGGCGTTCTCTGGTCTCCCCGGGCTTTCGTCGGATTCGGTTTCGGGCCGCATATGCGCAGCGCTCAGTTTGTGAGTTGAAGTATGGGGAGGGGGCTTGCTTTGTGTATTGCAAGGATGGAAGTCAATACAATGGCTGGGCGAGGGCTGGGCTCTTGTCAGGAAGCATCGGAAGCAGCACATGTAATCCTCGTTGAAGCGATGACCTCAGAGGTCAAAAACGCATCACCGCTGACAGTAGCAGGAATGGTCGACCGCTAAGCGCTCAGGGAACAAGTCGTTGAAGCGACCAGCGATTGTCTTCTGCGCACACCAAGGTGCTGTCTCACTCCTTCTGCGGCGAAAGACCTTCAGCTGCGGAGCAAGTAGGATCGTGGGACTTGGACCTGGCAGAAGGTGTGGAATCCTGAAACGTCTGGCACCTCGGCTCCAGGACGGATGCCGGTGTGCACGCACAGGGGCAGGCCAACTTGCGGCGAACGGGCCGTGCCAGCGCTGGGTCACTGATGATGATTACTGTTTATTGGAAGGCAGCACACTTTGACATCCCCGACTGGATCGCCACCGAACGGCCAGATGATTGGCAGGCGGGAGGGCGTGCAATTGCTTGACTTTCGGACTGAAGCCACAAGAGGGGATTTAACCGATGGTGCCCTCCATAACAATTCGTCTTGAGACATTGTATTTTCATGTATCTTCCAAGAGAGCATCACCCAAAACTTCGACCCATCTTCCATGATGTCTGGCACGCGATACTTCGCTGCCAGGCATCGTGGGAGCAGGCGGTAAACGAGCAGGCCAGAGGCAGTTGCTGGCAGAGTGGCAAGCACAAACTGAAGTTTAGTTGAACTATCGTATTTGCCTAAGCTGGGAAGTTGCCTTATCCATCCCTGCCCCAGTTGCCGTCAGACATACGGATTCGGACCCTTTGCAGCAAATGTTATCGAGCCTGGTTGGGTTCCCTTCAAGACGCTTAACGTTGGTTGTTGACACCAAGGAGCTTCCAGGATGCTCCTCCCGACTTCCACGCCACCTTCTCTGCCAGCGGCAAGACGTATGTGCTCACCCTATCGGCCATGATATTAGCCATGCAGCCATGCGGATACCAATTGCAGGTCTATCGCCTCCACTACGGGTTTAATCCAGCAGATCCGCTGGAAAGGCTTTCCTCAGTCAATCACAGCTTGTAGCCGGAGGCGCTGGGTGGCAGAGTGCACGAATGCCTCGTTGCAGGTTCTACAGGTACCGAATACCCCATGGCTGGGCAGGGCAGACACGCTTGCACAGAAACCTGCCTGTGGCATTTGCGTGCAACGCCAGGCACGAACTTTTGACAGTGACCTCCTCCGCCAAGCTGCTGCAAAACTTGTTGGCGAGAAGGACTTCGCGTGCGCTCACAATTCCGCATGAACGATGAAAGCCCATTTCAGTTGGAGGGGCCTTTTGCCCTTCGCTCGCTGCCATGGTCCTAACTCTAACCACAACTCGTTTGATCATGTTTGCAACACTTCGGACACACCCGCTGCTTAATTTTGACGCTACGCCAACCGCCTCGGCTTGCCGGAGATGGGCACGGTGACAGAATGTGAAAGAAGTGGGAGGGGGGGGAACGGACGGAGGGGCAGGGCAGGGCAAGGCAGCACAGGGTGTGGGGGCAGGGGGGCAGGGTGGGGCAGGGGTGACCGAAACAGCAGAAAAGGGGGTTCGGGGAGGGTGGCCGGTGTCATGGGTTCGGATCGGCGCCGTTGGACCCTGCCTGGTCGTTGGATTCCTTCACTTGTAGGTGACCATTTTTCAATCAAGCCTGAGTGCGGACGGCCGTGCAAAACTGGACGAGCTTGCCAAGTAGCAGAATCGCACGACTCAGCCGTTGTGGAAGTATCACTTCCCGGCATCCGACGATAATTACGGGTGCAAAGGTCTTGTTCTTCCTTTGACAGCCATGCAATTGCGATGCTGATCGCCTGCCGATGGTTCCATCTTCTTAGCTGCTACGAAGCTGTGACACCAGGTACTTTACACAGGCAAGCAAGCTGGACAAGTACAGGACATGTGGCTGAGATCTACTTGCTTGCCCGAGACCCCGACCTTGCGAAAGGATGTCAGGCACCGTCAGAACAATCCATGGCATAAATGTGGCACTGCCGACATGGTGCCTAAGTTTCTGTCGACGGAAATATCTCAGGGAGCTGGACATTATGCCAGGTCGAGGATGGTCCTGGGCGGTGTCGGATTGAGGTGGCGGTCTGACGGTCATCACTGGAGCTGAACCGGCTTGCGTGGCTGCCAGGTCAACTTGGACGGTGCCATTTACAGAATGGTTCGAAACATCGTTGGTTGCATCGCACTGACCTCAGCGGCCACCCTCGCAATGGCTCGCAGCAACTGTCGCAGAAGAGTTTCAGCAATAGAGCATCGATGACTGTCAATGGGTTTGTCACACGCATGCACCGTCTAGGGCCCTCTCGGAACAGCATTGAATGTTGGGATACATCTACGACGGAAATGTGCGCTGCAAAGCATTCGCCCAAATGCCCAGCATTTTGCAGGTGATGGCGGCATGCGGCCGCCTGGCACTGGAGCGGATCGACGAACTGCTTCAGGCCAAAGTTGGATTGGGGGACATCGCGAGCAAGGTACACTCCGCATGATAGGTTCCGCCTGACAAAGCAAAGCAGGAGAGCTGTGGTAACTCCGGAGATCTGGCATTGCATCTGAACCACTGGACTTTGGCTTGTGAAAGCAGACCGCGAGGAGACTTCTGTTCCGGTAAGTGCTTTTCCATGTGGCTTGGCCGCACTGATCAAAGACTCCTTTCTGGGTCCTTCCCCCACCCCACACCTGTTTCGAGCCAGAAGCACTGTCCCGGAGAAGTAGAGGTTTGCCTCCTCACGGCCTTTGCCTCGAGAAGGCGAAGATGAAGTTCACATACATTGAAATTCGCTTCGCTGCATTCAGATGGCAGGTGCATTATGACTCGCAGGACTTCTGACCCCTGAAGACTTGCCATGCAGCCTTGACACCGAGAAGAAAAGTATGCAGCCCATGTCCTTTACAAAGGGATGCCGAGGAGCAGTACTGTTGTGCAACAAACTGGGCGCATGAGCAGTGCATGTGGTGGATAAGCTGGGTTGGGCTGTAAGGTCTGAAGAATCTGAGGGCTTCGGGCTGCAAGTGTGACCTGGAACGAACTTGCTTCAACTACAGATCACAGACATTTATTGAGCAACGCCGAAATGGTTTGCCAAGTTCCCAGTCCACATCACGAGTAACTTCTTACGAGGCTTCTACATCTCGGCGCTTCCCGCTCAGCCTGACGCGGTTCAGCCCAGAACCACGTGTCGAAAAGAGGCTTTCCAAACGGCTCCGTGACCCAGTACGGCCAGTACGGTCCATGGTTTTCGTTCAGAAGCTCGACTGCGGCTGGAGTATTGAGCTCTATCAAATCAAAGACCTGAACAAAATGTGCGAGACTTCGCCTCGGACTTGCACAGTGAGATACGATGGAGACGGACTGCATGGAGAATGGTTATCATTAACTGATTCAGTAATTAATAAGAATCAGAAGCGTTTTGACTAGTGCGTTGGCATGCAGCATGCAGGTCCGGAATCTTTCATTGAAATTGGGAGCTCGGGATAGTAATATTTAACAAAATTGCTACGCTGCCCGGCAAAACGGGGGACGAACTCGTCGCTGCCCAAACCGCTTTGGCGGGAGCAAGAGAGTCCAATGAGCGCCTTGATGCGCAAGTGGGGCAAACGTCCTCCCCCCCCCCCCCTGCCATATAGACACTGTGCACCTGGGGGGACGCAACTGGGAGTGGCACTGGTATCAAACGGCTAGATTTGCACGTCTACATCGAGAATCTGACACGTCGGAATCCGTTATTCTACTGTGTACGAGCCCAGCTTGAGGTTTCGGCACATGCATTTATTATAGTGTTGGGTTTTGAGACAATCGAAATAACGAGATAAATTCTGACTGGGATTTCATTAGTCTCTTATTCTCTGAATTTATGAATTTTCCGACGATGAAATTGTTCATAAAATCTGCGGTTTATTATTCTACATTGGGCATCCTCCGCATCAGCAATCATGCGGCATAGCGTCCTCGTGGCTGTTCCCTCTGTCATTTTGAACCCTGTCCATGTTCCGGCTTAAAACCCCCTTCAAACCATCTGCAATCTGAACGGTCCCTCTGTTTCCTGAGCGGCTGAGTTTCTCGGCCATGGCAAACACAGCCCGGGAGCCAAGCAACAAATCACCAGACCCTCCCGGACGTCTGATGTAACTCCCCACACCCCCTTGCTGACCCATTCCGAATACAAGTGTGCACTACGCATACAAGTGTGCAATTGCTGATGGGTGGTGAGCCCTTTGCGAAAGAAAGGAACTTGCGCAAGCTTGCCATATTGGCTCTTGCAGTCTGCAGTCAAGCCAAAGCTCAGTACTGTACCCAAACTCTAACTCTATGTGATCAGCAACTGGAATGAGGATAGGCATGAACGGCGGACCGAGATCGAGGTGCTGTCGGTTTGGTCGTCATCATCATGCTGCCGCGCCACTTGTTTTCGTAGCTACTGAGCTACTGCATGTGGAAGTCCAGACAGCAGCCCCGCAAAACATAGCAGGCACACGCATGGCATAGCTGATGTATGTTTGAAGGTTCGTCATCAGGAAGAGACACAGACTGCTTCACATCGAAACGTAATCCCGCAAGTAGCAAGCAAAACACACGATAATTGTGAAGTCAGCAATCGAACACGGTTCCGGCAGACGCCTGCGCAAGGCGATTGATATAGCAGTTCCCAGCATGAGAGCTGTGAGGTGAAAATATCATGTGTTTGATCGCAGGTTTCGAGCTGAGATCCAGCACATGGTGTCCAGGAGCTCAACTCAGATTTAACAAGCACAGTCAACCAAGGCTAGGCAGCAGATTTGAATGGTGAGACAGCTTGAGGTTGCTAGACTATTCGGAGGGTGGTCCGAACGACCCTCGCACCACTTTCAATGATCTGCGCAAATGGTTGACAGCTGTAAAGGAGGACAGCCAAGGGGCCTGCCCGGGTGTGCAGTCTTCCGTTGTTTCATCTAGGCTCATGCAATTGGCTCGGCTTCGGCTGTGAGCGGCAACTTCGATGCTGCTACAGGAGATTTCACCGTGGGGTTGGCAAGCCTACGATGCGGAGTTCCGTGAGCGTATGCAGGTCACTGACTGTCAAATTTGGCTGTTTGGACAGTCCTTTTCGTTGGGATAAAGACAAGGCCGAGAAGAAGCTGTATGCCATGAATGGTCTGCCCAACAGTGGTGCCGAGCCCCAGGACCATCCAATCTAAGTTGATACGTCTGCGGATTGTCGAACCGGCTCCCTGCGAGGACGGCGTGATCCAAGGCACCCCCTTGTGGCAAGAAAGGTCGGCACGTGATGCCGCACGCAGCACGACACAGTTTCATTTCACTGAAAACGGCTTTGCTTTGGGGCTCGGAGGCTTGACCAGATGCTCTTGGTCGAGCACTTGAAACGGAAGGCGTCCGACAGGAGTGGCATCAACAAAAGCACACTGAGTTACCTGACTGTCTTGGCAGGTCATGGTTGCCCACACAGCATTCACCGAAGCCACCGACCTCCTATTGAAATCGCACGCATGGTTGGTGAAGGCAGCTTTGAGAACGCTCAGTGTCTGCCGACAAGAGTTTCCGTACAACAAGCAGGACTCGCTGCTGGCTGACAAGTTTGCCGAATGCAACTGGGCCTAGTAAAGGAGTCGGGCATTACTATGTTTTAGAAAAGCTGCCGTGATGAGGCATATCGCGGGTACCACCAAGTCAACATGACAGAATCGACCTTCTGCAGGTGGTGCCGCACCTAAAGTCTACCAAGCTGGCGGTCTGTGCATGCGAACATGTCTTCTTCTGTGCCACTATTCTGGCTGGAACATGGATGTGACCTGAGAGTAAGAAAAGAGTTCAAGGCATTTGATCAGTTCAGTCGAAGGAGCATGGGTAAAGATCATGCATTTGGGATCTCCAACTTAGAGGCCTGATTCCAGCTATTGTCAATTTTTAGGATGGCTCGGATCTTGTGCCATGGCGTCGACAGCCCCGTTTGGGCAAGTTGCGCCACACAGCCTCGAACGCTTCTAGGCACACTCACTGTTCCGAGGCACACACTGACGTCGGCAACTTCTGTCAGGTGCAGAGACACGAGTGGCACTGGTGGATGTTCGGGGCATTACGAAGGCGCGCAGCACGCACATTGGCGGATTCGTCAATTGTTTCGTTGTGTTAGATAGCCTCGCAGGACGAGGCAGTGGCAGCAGAGCCCAAAGATGCGGTCTTGGCTTCGCTGAAGTCAATGGATCATCAGTTCGCATCCTAGAGTGGGCAGTCCGTGGAAGATTCATGTTCCGGCAAGATTGCTGACGAATCAGGTTCGAGCAAGACCGCGAGGCCATGGAGAAGGACGCCTGTTTCAGCGGCTTGCTCGTTCCTACGTTCCGGATAAGTACGGCAGGTTCATGGTGACGGCCGATATCAAGGGTTTCGGTTGCGCGCAGCTCGAAAACTGCATTGACACCCGAAGCTAGGACATCCGAGCTCACCGGCAAGCTGCTTACGATGACGGCCGCGGCTCGGAACTGCCGAGTGAGGAGAGAGTCCCAACGCCGGCAGAGGCTGGACACGAGACGACCTGTTGGCTAAGCGTGTGCGTTGGACTTGAGTTGGTCGTCGTTGCCTCTCCTTATCAGATCGCCCACCAGCTGATGCAGTGCCCAGGCAAGCACAAAGTCACAAGACCGAAGGCAGCAGATTTGTGCGGTCACTGTCACTACCACTTAGCGAAATGTGCTGCCATCCAACTGCTGATCTGGTGGCTTGTGTTTTTGATTTTGTTGCCCTGTTGCTGCCGTGCTTCGCTGGGCAGCTTTTTTGCGACCCTAGTGGTGTTGGCCGTGCTGCAAGTCGAAACTTCCGCATCTGAGGGCCGGTGACTACGGGAACGGTCCACCCTATCCCATCGAAGGTCATTCCACCACGCTTCCGCACGTGAGCACTCATGTTCTTGGTGTGTTGCATGTCCATCGTCGTCTTTGCAAGGCGCACCCGCCCCACCATGGAGACGACAGGGCATCGAAGGCACTGACAATGTCACTGTTCAAACGGATCACACAGCCGGCCACTTAATTTTGACCTCGTTTTTGCTGTGCTCGACAAGGCATGTGTCGCCCCAACTGCTGAGCCTTGCTGTCTCGCAGGTGCTCGGCAAAGGCCATGTGCCTACAGTGTTTAGTGCTGCGTCCGCTCGTTCCTCTTGACTGTCCTGCGACCATCGCAGGCAAAAGCACCGAGCTTATCCGCTGTTTCGACGGTGAGGGAGTTGAGCAGCAATGTGGACAATTGTACAAAACGGACTGCTGAGTGCGTCATTGTAACAATGCTGAACCCTTGGGGCTTGTTCTGAACCCTCTCTGGCTTGGCAGGATGTAAATGCTGTGAAGGAGGAGGATGACAATCTGCTGTCGGGATTGGGCTATGAACCTTGCATGAAATGAAGAAGGTCTTCTTGATCGTGTTGACTCTCTTGGTACCTGTCCCAGGGTGGACCGCTGACCACTGGCCGGACAGCGTGCACTCTGCAAAGTGCAGTGGCCTTGCTCAGGCACAACGGTCCCCGGTAGCTGGGAAAGATTCGTGAATCCATGTGATGCGAGAGTCAACATTACACACCGCAGGCCATCAAGGACAACCGTCAGTGCCTCACAGGGTTGGACGTGATGACATCTTACATCGGAGACTTTGGATTGTTCAGCTTCTTGCAGAGGCTGCTCCAAGGCAGCGCTGGCGAGCTTTCCTGCATCTCAGCTGCAGCGATGTCATCTCGGGTGCATAAAGAGTGACCGATGAACTGCGGGCACATCTGACTCCTGCTTCTTCGTTTCTGCTTTCAGGTAGATCTCTGCGTACCCCGAGCAAAAGATGCTTCGTGGTGCAGAAAAAAGCCTCGTGCCATCTCGTGAACCGCTGAAAAGCTTGGTAGTGGTTGGCAGCATATGCTGCGCAGTATGCGCTGGGCATGCCCAGGATACTGTGAGAAAAGAGTTGAAGATGAGCCTCGTCCTGCATTAAGGCGCTCCGACAATCGCGCGAGGAGACGAAGGCTGCTAAAGCCGAATTCCACGAATACAAGGCGCAGACTCCGCGCATTGGGGATGTGCTGATGCCGTCCGGATGCCAGGTCCGGCAGCAGATCAAGCGCCAGGATTGGTTAGTAGAGCTGAGTGTTGGGCTTCTGCCATCGTGTGTCACCCCTGGAGGGTCATTCCTGCATTCCCTGCAGCTTAACACGTTCTGTTCTGGCTTACAGCGCTTGCTGTACTTCAGCTCGTTGTAGTCTAAAAACTAACATCGACATGCCCGATGAAGACAGCGACAAGTAGCGTCATGCCGTCACTGCAAGGCTCTAAGAGGATGTTCCGGATTCTGCTTGCTTTCCACGGAGGCAAATTCAGAAGTTGTCTCTGGAGTCTTGCGATGGCGCCCGTTCAGCCAGCTACATCTGCATACATCCAAAATCTTTTGGAGAGAGCCGCTCAGATCGATTTAGTCAAGGAGGATATAAGGTCGGGGTGGACATGGAGCACGTGTCGTGGCATGAGCCCGCATGTTGGCGCGTCAGGTGATCTCTGGACGCCCGGCTGCCGAAGAAGCTGCACATCAATATGTGAATGGTCTCATGCGGAAGGCTCTCTTTGCTTCCAACGCACACTGCCCTTCACTGAATGCGTTTCATGTTTTCTTGGGAGGCCTTCGCTGCGGCGGCCATCGACGGCACCCATTTCTCGCTTGTGTTTGTTCCATCACTGAGTGCTGGATGTCGTGCTGGATTTGGACACTGTCGACTCGTGAAGGTACGGCGCGAGATGTCGCGGCGCTGTGTGCCCGTGAAGCAGTGAAGGGCTTTCTGGAGAAGGCGCCGTTGCGAAGAAAAAGGTGGGGTCCCGGCTCTGCGGTGGGCGCAGAGCCCTGCGAGGCCAAGGCCCAAGAACCTCAAGCTGAGGCGTCCTCAGGCAGCCGACAAAATGGTTGGGGCCCGGCACCGTTGTTTCCCCATCGGAAGCATGTTTGCCCGAAAGGTGAGCACGAACGGGAAGTTGCAGCTGCATGTGCTCGAGTGGTTGTTGCTCGCTATGTGGAGAAGGCATGTCAAGGCCGTCCTGAGTGCTGCTGCCGCTGCTGTCCCCGGAGGCATCTCTGGAGGTCAAGACAGCGAAGCTGGTTTGCTCTGAGGGTCCGGAACCGACAGCGTCGCACAGCGTTGCAAGTTGTGCTAGCGACAGGACCTGGACGAGAGGAAGCTGCTGCTTGTGCAAGGGTAGCTGTGGCGAGCTGGACAGCCAAGGATCGGCATCAGCAGGTAGCTGGGGGTTAGGGGTCGTTTGTGGGCGGTCGGCCGTGTTCAGGCATCCGAGGCTGCCAGAAGGGAAGGCGGGAACTGACGGTGGACCTCTGCCCGTGTGTGACGTGTGCGTATAATGTGTCGGTCGAACCAGGCCCGGAGGGAAAGGTGGCTGCGGCGTGTGCTCGTGTGGCAGTCGCCCGGTACGTCGAAAAGGCTGGGACGGCGGCGGAGCGGCGGCGGAGCGGCGGCGGAGCGGCGTCTGGTCGCTGAGTTTCTCGGCGTTTTGCTGGGAGGCGAAGGAAGCGGTTCGATCGCAAGGCCAGCCGATCAGAAGTTCTGTCTTTCTGTCTTTCTGTCTTGTCAGCAGTGACGCAGGCGAAAGTCAAGAGAAGGCGGAACGGGATCGAGTGCCCGAGTTTGTGAAGCGACACGAGGGTAAGGCCGGCTCTGACAGCGGCCCTCCTGCGTGCAGCTTTTGCTTGTTGATCCCTTCTTCTTTGCGGTTGCCTTTGTGTCAAGGCTTTTGAGGAAGCACTCGCTCAAGGCTCGTGACATCGGCAGCGATTCTGTGCATCCCAGACCTGCTGCAGGTGATGAGCGACAGGTTGCTGCTCTTTGTGCACGATATGCAGTGAAGCAGTTCGTGGCGCAGGCATGTGGGCATCAGTGGCATCAGCATAGCGGCATAGCATGCGGGCTGCTAGCAGCACGCGCGCAGAGCGCCGCGCGCTTCGATCTGCCCTGCGAAGGCCTCCGATGTGGTTCGTCAGCAAGGCCAAGTCCCAAGGGGACTTTTGGGACATGGCATCCATGCTTCGCTGAGTGGGAAGCGTCAGGCACGCCGCCTGCGTCTGTGCAGAGCACGGTCGAGAAGGCTGAAATAGCATTGAAGATGCCGAGCGTCACACAGAGCCATGCAATGCCATGCACTTCCAGCTAGTCTCTGTCTCCCGCAGGTTCATTCATCTGTGGTGAAAGCGGCGAACCACCTTGCCCCTTGAAGCGTGTTCGGACTCCCTTCCTCTGTTACCACTGTGCCACCCTTCCGATCTTTCTCATGTTCTGAGTTACGGTGCTCAGGCTGCGGCTGCCCAGGCGACTGTCGAGAACCTCGAAGGTGCAGCCACCGGGTTGCTGGGCCTAGGGCTTAGAGGCTTTTTTACCATAGCGACATCAAGTGAGGCTTGGTTTCCGATTGCGAAGATCCTGCGAATGCAAATTCTGAAGAAGGAGTCGAGTCACCGTGCCTCAGCTTCAATGGACGGGTGACAGCCGGCTGTAGCTATTCGTCTGGCTGGTGTCCGAGTCAAATTGATAGGCGTGGCACAAGAAGTCCGATGAAGCCCGACGGTGTTGCCCCGAAGAAGAAGCGGCCAGCTCCGAAGTTGAAGGCAAGGCGGCAAGCCAAATCCCTAAAGCCTGGCCTTTCAGATCCGCAAATAAATCCTTTGAGCAAGCTGTTGCCATCTGTAGTTAGCTGTAAGCGAGACATGCATCTGGGCACGATTAAACCAGGAATTCTGCGAATTCCAATTGAATCCGGTGCTGTAGGCACTCCACAAGAGTTCAGTTTGAAGAGCGTGCAGGGGGCGGGCCCAACTCACGTCCCGCTGGCGCAGATGGAGCCTGCAGCTTCGGCATTGGCGGCAAAAGTGCTACATGAAACCTTGCTTTGCTTTCACTGACTGCAGGAGCCTTGGACAGCGCCACCTTCTCCGCAAACCTTGCTGGCAGAACTGGCCCTCCCGCCGCCAAAGAAGGAGAAGGCCCAGGCCAAGATCCGGCCCTACGACGTTGAGGAGGCAAGGGATGAGAGTCTAACTGCCCTTTGCCTTTCTTGTGAGATGTTTCTAGGAGCGAAAGCGAGACGTGGAGCTGCTACAGCAAAGGCCAGTGGCCGTAGGTTCCAGCTTAAGATGTGGTGACATTCGCTGCCATGATTTGCCCTCGTGGTCAGAGCTTTGGGAGGCACCAGGAAAACCTTCAGCGCCAGAGGCAGGTGCAGCAGGAGCTGCGGACCCAGCACCAGCAAAGCTTCGTGCGGGATGCCGCATCCTCAGCTTGCTGGAGCAGGCCTCGACCAGCAGCAGCGAGATTTCCAATTACCAGGGTACATCGGTGCATAATCTGCATACCGGTCCAGCCAGGTCAGTGGGCAGACCAGTCTGGCTCCACAAGGACACCGGCCTGCGACAAGTTCAGCACATCGATCTTCTGGGCCGGTCACGATTCGAAAAGGATCATCTCGGGATTGGCGTCCGCGTGTCAGTGCAGAACCACAGCCGCCAAAGCCCAAGAAAGGCGCGACGGACCAGCACGGCATCATGGCACAATCTTTGGACGGGTCTTCACAGTCCTGAGAGGCCGTGCAGGTGTGCGAGCCAGCTCCTCTCGTCAAAGCCGGTTCAAGCCAAGCGAGGCGGAGACCACGCCCCGGGCTCGGCAAAGAATAGCCGAATACTTGTAGCGGGAGACGCATGACAAGGAAGCTCTACCACCAGTCACATCGAAAGTCGAAAGACATCTATCACCGGCATCCATGTCAGGTGCACGCTGTCTGCCTCTGACTGGGCCATCTCCAAGGTTCCGATGATGATGATGAAGATGATGAAGATGATGATGCTGGTAAATGATGATGACGATGATGAAGGGAGTGTTCCAGTTTTCACTGGCACCGTGACAGCTTGCAGGATGCCGCGGCTCTTCCGGAGAACCTGTTGGCTGCCCTGGCTGAGATGGAGGCATGCTTCTGGTGCAGGCTACTAAGTATGCTTGGTCTGCACAGTTTGCTGCGACAGAGCTGGAAGGCAGATGTGCCACGATCCGTCGTTGACGATCCAGTATTGCGTGCATACCTCGCTGTCTACAAATCGCTACTTGGCGATCGTGCGAATGTTGGTATAAATATTTCAGGAGATGTTGGGGCTTCTCAAGCTGTCAAAAGTTTTTGCGCTTTGCAAGGACAGTGTGTAAGCGCGGAGGAGAAGACGATGACACACGAGGCAGCTCTTACACATTCGGTACATGCATGATTCATGATTTCAGATGATCCCGTCTGCCAGGAGCTGGCGAGCTCGCCCTCCCCGAGGCCGGGGTTCTTTCGCCTGTCCGCAAATCCGGGCACCGATCCGGGCCGGGGCCAGGGACAGAGTCCGTGTGGGTCACGAGATGGCAGCAAAAGGCCGGGGCGGGCTCTCCATGATGGCCGGGCCTGGTTCCGGGTTTTGGGCTTCTGAAAGGCGAGCAAAGAGTGCAGCAAGCAGGCCCGGATTTCACAAAGCTCTTGAAATCTCTCGAAAGTTTCTGTTGGCACGGTCGGCTGGCGAAGGCTGTCGAAGGCGAAGGGAGCCGCATGGCTCCAGCCTGGCCTCATGTCTTGGCAAGACCGGGGGAAGCTCGGCAGCACTTCGCAATGGAAGACACAGCATGCTTTGCACTACTTCTTGCCCTAGCTTTTCTCTTTCCAGGAAGCTGCACAAGAGTCCTGCATGAATGTGCCTTCAAGCTGTCTTCCAGTGTGGATTTGGCGACTTGATGTGGTCATCAGCAATATTTCACGACAGTTATTCTCTAGTCATGAGCCAGACTGATCACGCAGCGTCGCAAGCTGAAATTAGCGATGCGACGCTGCATGAAGAGCGTAGAGGAGGTGGGACGTCAGACAGATTTAGTGCCGGCTACCCCTAGTGTGCAACGACTACAAATCACATCGGGAGCGGCTACTGCTCTGGCTAAGCTGACAGGGGGGGATCGTCACGGCCATCCGAAGCCTATGAAAGAGAGATAATCAAAGAAGAGCAAAAGCAGCAACAAGCACGTGACGACGGAGGAAAAAAACGGGAGCTAGAGGCTGCAAGAGAGCTGGGCAGAGCGCAAGCAAAGGCAAAGTTTTGTTACAAACGAGCCGCGAACCGCACCTCGGCCTCCGACTCGAAGCAAAGCCCGGCAGGCACCCCAATGCCAGCTCGATTTCCAGTTTAAGTCGAAGTCGAAGAGATTTTTGAAGCAGGGACTCTCAGTGGTCAGCCGTGGCCGACCTTGGCTGCAGATCTGCCGGGCGATCTTTGCCTTCCCCGAAGAGTCCTTATGGATGTCTGCACAAGGTCAATGAACCAGTCGACACGAAGGTCCCACGCGACGCTGTGCATGAATGTTGTTTGCGCGTCAAAAACAAGATGAGTGCGGGAGAAATGTGATTTGGAGGATTGGATGCAAATCCTAGATGAAGAGATTCCAACGGCACCAGCAGCATTGCCACTCATGGCGTCATTGACAGAGCTGGAACAGCAGCTTGCGGCATTGCGCACATTTCAGTCAGAGAAAGACGTTCGTATCTTGGACTGCATGTCAGTGACGTCAGTGCATTTGCACTCATCTACACATCTCCATACCTACACACCTGCACTCTTCCGGCTCTTGCGCACCTCCACACCTCCGCATCTCCACATACCACTTGGTACGTGCGCGACTCGGCTTGCTGCTGGTACGGGGTACGTCATCAATCTGCCAGGATTTCGAGAACTCATCCCACCTTTGATCTCACATGGCACCCGATTTTGTAAAAAAGTCTGCGGACCCTGAGTCGATGACGCATTGTCAACTTGATGACATCTGACTCTCATGCCATTTGCACTGCGAAACTAGGAAGCTCCACAGAGTGCTAGGACGCTAGTCCGTTCTGCAGCATGTGCAGCACAGCTGCCCGTCGACAGCATAGCTAGGCTTTTACAATTGTTCGACAAAGCTAGAAGCCACTCAGCAGTCGGTTGCAAGCCACCCGACCCATCTGCATGAATGACGGATTCTATCCGGATAGCCATCTTGCATGACATTTCCATTCCTACATAACATGGCTTTGTCTTTGTGAGTTTGTTCTACGAAGACACCACCGGACAATGATATCTGCAGCAGTTCTGCCCTCGCTTGGGTTCGGGGGGTACACCGGAGGTTGCTGTAGTTTGTTTCGGCAGTGCTTTGAATGATATTCGTAGCAGTCCTGTCCACGCTTGGGCTCCGGGGGGTAAACTGGGTAAACCGAAGGGGCTGTAGTCTATAGTCTCCTTAGGAATTGTTTTTTGTTCATATAAAGCCCGATGCTGTTACTTTCCTGCCACCTGTTCGGTGCCGAGTGAAATGTGGCACAAGCTGGACGTTCTTCACATCTTTGCACCATGTATCCTACACGCCTAAAACAACCCGAAGTGAACGATCAACGTGTGCAGTGTGCAAAAAATAACCTAAAGTCCCAGACACCGTAAAATCATATGCAAATCTCATGTGAAACACGCGCGATGGGACTTTTGCACATCTTCAGCCCTTGGAAGCCAAGCAAGCGCACGGATGGCTCCATGTTTATGACACAACCGCTGTCCAGCAGGTTCTTGCCTGTTGGGTTGTTGCATCACCATGGCCGGCACGCAGCGGAGGGGGTAACAGGGTTGGCCTGGCCAGCCCTCCACATTTCCCGACGCCCGTGTGGTTCCGATATGTTCAAACTCTGCACCAAAGTGGCAAAGTGCCAGCCGAATCTCATTCATGAAAGACTCGCAAAGAAATCCGAAGCCGGAACGGAAATTTGACAAGGAGAGTGCTAACTGCTAGCTAGCCGCTAGCCCAGGAAAGGATTGATATCTAAAACGGAGTAGTGGCCGTATGTCTTCGGGGTGCGGCAGAATACATTCAAGGGGCCCAATTTGTCGCCCACCATCATGCTGGTGCATGGCTCTGCCGACGCTAAGGAAGGCCTGGTTCTGGCCGCGAAAGGGAGCTGTGCCTCCAATGGAGTGCCCCGGCTTTTCTGCAGCGCACACCTGCCAACACGACATGCCCACGTCGCACAAGGACAGCCGTGCTTGCCCTGCTGAATGGCCAGCCTCCTCCTATCGAAGCTACAGCTCAGGCCTGCCATGGTTCGGACGGAAAGCAAGCATTACTCGTAGGCCACCTTAGGCGTGTTGGACTTTTGGGAGCTCGAGGCCGCTGCTGCGGCACGCCAGCAATTTGCTTTGTATCATGGCAGCATACTTGTTGGCACCTGGAGCTTCTGGACCGTTCTGTGTATTCCGCGACTGCACTCGCCGATGCATTCTACCAACAACTCGCACTGAGTTCTGTTGATAAAGACTTCCAAGGCCCATGCTGCAGAAAGTGCAGCAGGCTCCTTTTCATCACGTGCCATCAGCTCGTCGGAGTCTCCGAGCTTGTCAGTACGACTTCCGAACTCAATATGGTGCTGTCGAACCTGCGAGTGTCCCCGGCAACGGTTGGACAGTGTAACTTCTACTTCACGCAGGTGTGCTCATGGGCGCCTCGTGCCGATGCTAGGCACGGTGGCAGCATCCGACAAATGAGAGACTAAGAGCGTGCATAATCAAAGTTCTCATGAAGAATCATGTAGGCTGTGCCGGATTGTCAAAGCACCTTGTGACCAAGCGCAGGGATGTTGACTTCGGCTTCCAAAGAGAGACATATCCTCTGCCCGGAGGACGTTGTGAAGCTCTTCACGGTGCGGACGTCACAATCCTTCTGTCTACGCCTGGCACAGGGAGTCCTTGCCAAGTTCGACAGAGTTTGGTTCAATGCTTCTTGGAAGTCCGGAAACATCCGAAGCATAGAAGCATGGGCCCCTTGTGCTGGACTCTGTCAAACTGCGTTTCTTCCGATTTTTCGGGCGCCTCCACGTGCGCCTCCGGGAAGTCTCCAGATGGAGCGGATTCCCCAAATTTCCCCACAGACGTTGCTGCGCGGCGGCCTTCGTTTTGGGCTGCTTTTGTAAGGACTTCATAACTTTTAACTCTGCGGCACACCTCCAAGAGTCTAGGCCCTATAGGCAGTGGAAATATCATGTGCAAGTACCACCAAAGTCTTACAGCACTTGCTCGGAAAGGTGAAGGAAGTGTGCTGGCTCCACGCATTTGAATCTCTCCTCTCACTTAAGGCAACGGCAAGCTGTATTCTGGATGCAAACTGCGCTGAGACCCTTCCTGTGACTCGGAGCTGTGCTTCGCGGTTACGTGTGGCGCATGCTTTAGTTCACATGCAACGCATGAAACAACAATGGTTACACGGGACAGAACGGTTTGCTTTCGTGACGGCTTGTCGCTTGCTCTGAAAGGTAGAGAAGCAGCACGGCCCTGCCCCTTCGGCTAAGTAAGGGCTGTAGCATCTGTAGAGATATGTCGGAGGAATCGCTGGAGCACGGTGAGGCATACGCATCCGATGAACTCGATAACTCGATGGTCGTGTTACAGGATGCTTGGGGCGGATCGTCGTGCAGGAGGTGGTCACCGTTTTATCGCAATCGTTGTGCACATGATACCGCCATGTACCTAGCTGATCTTAGAGCAGTTGTCACCGTGCCCCCGCTGCTATGGCTGAGATTGACGCCCGAATCCTTCCCAGCGCTGCTGCTAAAATCCGCAGCAGGCGCATCGGTGCAACCCAGCCGTGGTGTAATGAGCAAGCAACACTGTCCGGGTCATGTCGCAGCTTTGCCTTGCAGCGCTGCATGGAGCAAGTGATCGCTCAAGCACCACGCTACACGCTGGGCACTACTCCGTGGCGATCGCGTAGCGACGCCTTTCGTGGAGGTCACCTGAGGTGCTCCACCGGTTCGGATTGTGTGGACAGGTGTGTTGGCCAAAGGTATACGTATCTTGTTGCAGGATCGTACTACGGCAGTTAATCATATTCATCTGTTGTCCCTGTATGGTGGCGATGACGACATCTGAGATGGACAAACACTGATCATCCAGGCCCTGTCGGAATCGCAAGAGGCCTCGGCTATGAATTTGTAGTGCAAATAGATGTTGATGTTGCTGATGCAAGCCATTCCATTGGCTGAGGCCTGTCATTGCAAAAAATCGCTGGTGACATAACGCACTGATCAACAAAAAGAGTCCCTCACATGCTTGCCTTTGTTGTGCGTGTCAGGGAAAAGCTGTCAGACGTAAATTCTACTGCTGCACTCTTCTTGTCGCTTATTGATTGGAAGAGTAGCTCGCAGTCGCATTGAGATAATCTTGGGTGGTTGACAGGAGGCTGGAGGTGGGTGTAGACGAATCCATCATGCATCAGCACTTGGGGTGGAGCCGTGTAGCATATGGAGAGAGAGAGAGAGAGAGAGAGGAACTGTTTCCTGAGTGTTGAGTTTTGTTTGGAAGCCGAAGCAGTGGGGGGAACCACCCCTTTTGATTCCGTACAGCTGAGCCATTGGGGGAAAATCCCTCGGTGGAGTAAGACCTCCCGCAATAAGCGGGCGTGCGTGCGCGCACGGGGTGATCGGCCTGGATGCTGCCGTGATCCCCAAGCCCGGAAGAGAGAGAGAGAGAGAGTAGCCATTTTGGCTCAAGTGCTGCACCCTTGTGGGGAGGGCCTGTTCAGCCTTCCCTGCATCGGGGGGAGACGCAGAGTTAACTCGGGGTTGTGCCCCCGTGGGAGCTTCTGTCGTTTCCCCCAGCGGTGCTTGAGCTAATCATATCCGTTGCCACGTTGCTCCAGCGTCCTCCTTAGAGCGACGCTATACTCGTGAAGGGCAAGATTTAAGAACTCCAACCTTGGGGGGGACCTAGTGACTGCAAGTCCCCATATGTCCTCGCTACTGAGCAGGGGGGGACGCACTTCTCCAACAAGCACCTTGGCTCCTCCAAGGCCAAGTTTCGCGGGGAGATTACCAACGCTTGGGCGAGGGACTACCGCACGTCAGGGATCGTGACTTTCCGGACGGGGGAGATCGCAAAGTACCATGGCGTGGGATGGTCGGGAATGCCGGCTATGCCGCTACGCCGGCGGCATCTGTCAGCCTGGGTTCCGTAAGACACACGTCAGAGAAGATCCCCAATGCAGGTTGCATGGCATGGTGCAACGCATGAACATACGGCTGGGGGATGCGGCATATGAGCCTCCGAGACCACCGCAAACGGTTGAGGGGGAGCAAGCGCCACCCCCCCTGTGTAGCAAGACGGCTTTTCGTATACAGGGGGGGCTCCACCTGCTTTTCGAACCAGACACGCTGGACCGCTGGACCACGCAGGAAGTTCAGGCTGACGACGAGGGGCGCTACCTGCTCATGCCGTCGGGGGAGGCCCTCGGACCTGACGCCGTGGGGGAGTACGAAAGGTACATGGCCAGACTCTCCCACAGGTTCCGGCTAGGAGAACAAGCAGACCGCCTAGCACGTATTGTCGATGAATGGCTGCCGAAGATCTCCCAGGAGAACAGAGTGTATGCAATGAAGTTTCCGGACCAAATACCTACTATGTTGCGCAAGGCTTGGGGGGTGCGCCGCAGACTTCGACAACGGCGAGCAGAACAAAAGAAAGCCACCAAGGGGGAGACACAACACATGACAGACGAGGAAGGCACGCCACCAACAACAAAGCAGACGGAAGCAGCCAGCAGCTCGCAGGGGGCGAATACAGCCAATGTGAGAAGGGAGGACAGTGCCTCGGACACCCCGCCGGACTGGGGAAGTGAAGACAGCCAACTTGAAGAAGAAGGAGGGGAAGCGCAGCCATGGCGACCGGACGGCGACAACCAAAGTACAGACCTGGGGGGACGAGACGACGACAACCACAGTGGCTACCATCTGAACGTCGACACACAGTGGCCGTGGGGAGCAGCAGGAAGGCCGTCGGACCGGGAAGCCAACCAAGAGAAGTCCGCAGAGCCGCAGGGGGAACCGCCGGCCCGACACAAAGCTGGTCACAGAAGGCCCGCCGAGCCGGAGGGGGAGCCCGGCACCAGACGACCCAGCGAGCCGGCGGGGGAACCAAGACCCAAACGGTCGCGCCAGCTCCAAGACACCCAAGAACTACCTGCAGGCGAACCACAGGACGCTGGGGGGCGACCGGCAGTCACCCTGGTGCCGAACATAAGCTGGCAGGTGCAAGCGGTGCAAGAGTATATGGCACAACGCAGAGGGGAGAACACGGCAAGGTCCAGCACTGAGACGGAGTGAGCGCAGCGGAAAAAGTTTTTCAAGCAATGACCGAAGAGGGGATTGAGGGACTGTTTCGGTTTTTTAGGTTGCTTTGCTTGGTTACCGTGTTGAGTGACCCCTCCCCTTTTCCGCGACTGAATGTAAAGGTCATGCTTTGCCTCACTTAGTGGGGGATTTCTCCTTTTCATAAGCCCAGCCGGGGGAATGCATGTTGGCATGTTTCTCTGTACTATACTTATCCACTTTTGACCTTTTGGCCGCATGCTGCCACGATTTGGCAGCCTCTTTCCGCCCTTTTGCAATTCGCTGCAATGCCGTCACTTCGACGATGTCGGATCCGCCCTTCTACACCTAATTCGGCATCCTCCCCTTGCTGCGTGAGAGCAGGGGAGCGACAATTCAACCGGCTTTTTCATGCCCCCTCGAACCTACTATAGGCTGAGGACTGTTAGCCAGAGGGGCGCGGGGACGAGGCGGGGGTTGTGTTCGTGTTTAGCGTTCGGGGGGGCTTTTTGCTTGCGAACCCAGAACACACTGGGCAGTACAGTGCCGTAATCTGGAATACCCCTGAAACCAGCCACTCCATAATACAGGGGGTGGTTGGGGCGGGCCGAGTGCCTTGGGGTCGCACGCGACCCTTAAGCCCTGCAGAAAGAAAGAGAGAGAGAGAGAGAGCTACATGGCGGGGGTTGTGTGAGTGTTTAGTGTTCGGGGAGGCTTTTCTACTTGCAACTCGGGTCATATTTTGTTGTACATTGCCTTAATCTGGAGTACCCCAAAGCCGTCCACTCACTAGTACAGTGTGAGGGACGGGCGGGCGCAAGCCCGGCCAACCGACCCCTAAGCCCGGCAGAAAGAAAGAAAGCTACATTGTGAAAGTAGTGACAGAAATCAACTTGCAGGAGTACTTGGTGCGCACCATCAACAACCAGTCTTATGCAATCCGGCAGAAGACGAAGGACGAGCAAGCGGAATGTCCATGCCCGGCTGGAATGCTTTCGTCGTTCACCAGCTGCGAGGATGACATACTAGTCTCGTGGAGATATCTTTGCGAACGTTCTCGGGCAGTTGAGCTCGAAGGCACATCCGTGGCATGTGCTGCACATGGCGTTCGTCTGATGCTTTCTTTATCTTTGTTTTGGACTTTCATGACCTTGACCGTGTGCCACACCTGTTTGTTTGCATTTTTCCTGTTGCCTTTGCTTTTCTGCGCGTTCGGGTCGCTGGAACTGGATGTTTGCGGGAGCAGACAGGAGGATCGTGTCTGGGACGAATTGTGTTATTTTCAGGGCTAGGGATATGATAGGATGATGACAAGGAGAAGAAGGTGCCAATCTGTACGAAGGTTGAGATGCCCAAATGCACCAACAAAGCGCAGGAGATGCAGATCACAGCCCTTGAGAAAATTGAGAAAGCACGCACAGTTGACATAAGCGGCAGCCAGAAGCGTTTGCAAACGTTCAAGTTGTGAGGCCGGAATCATGTTCTGGTCACACGGGCTCATTCCCCAGACGATGGCTACAGCTTCGTCATCGCTGCATTCAGTTGGATGAAATCGTCTTTGTCAGGTCAACGACCTGGAGGCCAAGATGGTGGCGACCCAGGAAGACCTGGAGGAAGCGGCTCGGCAGTGGGAGGAGCAGCCCGAAGCTCAACCCACGTCCGGCAGAACTTCTCACTTCGCACTGCTTCGCACTGTCGCGTCCCCGGGATCTCACGAGGCGCAGTGCTCTGGAAGCCGATCGGGATGAGTATAAGCGCCTCTACGAGAAGCCCGAACCTCTCAGTCGGCGGAAGGAGAATTCCGAGTTGCGCCCGTGCAGCCAATCGCAGGTTCCTAGCGGCCCACGAGCGTGCGATGGCAGAGCTGGAGGAGTCGCAGGGCACGGCCGAGGACCAGGCGAAAAGGGAGGGGTGCTGTGTCGTGTCTGTCGGACTGGTCTCTCTGGGAGGGCTATGTTTGCTTTATGCTCAAACAACATCATCTACTCCGAGAGGCGATACTCTGTGCTCGCAGGTGCCGGCTTGCGAAGTAAACTCTGAGGGCTGGTCAGGGCCACGACAAGCCAAGGGGGGGGGGCCTCCCCGAGGCAAACTTCGGGCCAAACTCGCAAAGTTTCGCAAGTGGAGCTCACTTTTGAGTCTTAGAGCGACCCTTCAGTCTGCGGAGCTGCGAGCCCGCTTTGGCCCGTTTGGTACAGGGTCGGGCCCAGGCTTGACGGTCGAAGGAGGGGTATTAATATTGCGCAGAGGGCATGCGCGCTGCTCCAGCGGCGGCCGGAATTGGCCCGAGCGAGCTGTGGGCTTTGGTTGACTGGATACCTGGACCGAAGCTGTTAAGGTTCGTGGGGGCCGGGAAAGACTCGAAGCACTAGGCCCTAAGCTGGCATGATCCGAGCAGAGGGTGGGCGCTTTGTCGCCTTCGATTCACCCTCCTTGGGAACAAAATTTGAAAGCGGTGTTGAGTTGGCCTGAGACAGCTTCCAATTTTCGGAAGTTCTGCGCGTCAATGCTGAAATACTATTGACTATTGACAAAGTGGACGAAACAACGGCAATAACAAGGAGAATGCAACCGAATGATCCAGTATTTCACACTTCAGACTGCATACCCACCACGTTTGGCTGTCAAACCTCTGCTTGTGGTGTCTTGGTGATTTGTTGTTATGACCGATGGCTTCGCAGCTCTTCCTACATGGCTATCGGCAGCAATCGGCGGCATAGGAACCGTGTGATTCCATGACTGCCACTCATGCCTTGCTGCATCTGATTTTAGGTAGCTTCGACAGGATGCAGGGCTTTGCCACGACATACTGCAGTTTGCAGCGGCTGGTTCTCGCTTCTCCATAAACAAGGCCATGGCAAGGTTCCGGGGAGGCTCTGAGGCCGTGAGTCTCCCGTTACGGGCCCACGGGAAAAGCCTTTGTCTTCGGCCTGGCGGGCCCCGGCCTCCTTCCTGTGGATGAGCAACACACAGGAAGTTCTTCTTGCGTTTCGTCGTTTTCTTTCTTTACATGAATTTGACGTGGCTCTCTGATTTCCCGATGCAGGCCAAGAAGCTACAGGCGTGGTCGTGCTGTGGGTGTGGCGTGGAATTGTGCGGATCTGACGAGCCGAAAGCACGCTCTTTGCCAGGTCCTGACTCTAGAGAAGCATCGCCTCACGGACAAGGTCCGGGTCACGGTCCCTTTCTCTTTTTGACTCCCAGTCAGCTCCGTGCTGGCAGGTGGAGGAGCTGGAAGATGCCAGTGGCCAAGTGCTCTCCTGGAGGCGTCCGGCGGATTCCGCAAGCTGCTCTAAGGACAAGAAGCGAATGTCCAAGCAGCTGGCAGAACTACGGGACGAGGTGGGCCGCATGCCTTCGACGATCTCTGGTCGTCTCAGAGTATTCAAGCTGATCCCATAATGAAGGTGGCCAAGCTGAAAGCAGAGTTGCGGAGGCTCGAATCCGGATCCTTTGTCTTTTGTGGTTCACGGGCATGGATGCCAGGCTGGGTGCTCAGCTTCGTGAGGTTGGAGCCCCAGTGCGGGTCAAGACGCCCCGTTGCAGCCGCTCCTCACAGCGCTTTCGCACAGGGTGAGGTGGCTCTGCTCCTAGCCCGCTCGGATGCGCAGCAGCTCCGGGCAGACGCGAGGAGTTTGGAGGATCGGTTTGCTTCCGAGCGCAGCTGCGGCGCAGCTCGGGGCAGCTCGCGGCGGCTCGCAGTCGCAGGACGTGGTCCCCCTCGAGAGTGATGGGCCAGCAAGGCCCTCCCAGCGGCGACTTCTCCAGGAAAGCGGCCGTCGAGAGGCAACCCAGCGGGGCCCAACAGATTGTTGTGATATAACAGAGGGCTGTTCCAGGCAGAGTTGCTGGATCTGCTTCTGGCTGCAGAGACTACGGCAGATGCACGGCTGAAGCGACCTCTGCTCAGCCACACAGCGCGCAACAACCTCCCAAAATTGCACAGTCCTTCGATCCGAGGTCTGCTTGAGCTCGAGGGTCCTGGAAATGAGCCTGATGCAGAGGAGGAGCCAGCAGGTAAGGGATGCAGCATTTGCTTTGCAGACGCTTGCTGGTGACATGGTCCACTCCCGCGGCAGGTATGAAGCCAGCTTCGGAAATAGGTGCCACCTGTGTTCACCTTGCATGAGTGGTTATATGTGGTTGCATCTACAGTACTGTAGTATCATGGATACCAAAATTACAATGCCGTCTGTTGGCCTATAAGCTGTCTGTTGCGAAGGTGTTCTGCCAGCAGAGCGGCGATTGCGCAGACATGTCGAGAAAGAGCGAGATGCACGCTGCTCAAGACCTCTGGCCAAGTCGCTGTCAAGAGGTGTTTGCAGAGTCGGTCCAGTCTCCTCCTCACTTCTGTTCTGAGGAGCTTCTTACGTTTGCCAGAGATCTGGACACGGAGCTCGTGAAGGCTGAGCATCAGGCTCTGGAGGATTATGATTTTTTGTCGGACTGGAAGGTTAAAACGGAATGCTACCACACCGTCCGGGAGATCAAGCAGAAGTGTGCGCAGGACTGGAGAGGGCTCAGAGCTACAGTCCGGGCATTGATTGGTGTCGGTGTACTGGGTGGCCACTGGCACCATGAGATCGCAAGAGACGAGGAGCTCGAGGACTTCAAGACCACAGAGCTTGCCAAAGTAAAAGCCGACTTCCAGGCGAAGGCCGGCACATAGAACTGCGGTTAGCTCCGCTCCGCCGGGATGCCTTGTGTGCCGTGTGACAGATCGACGAAATCACTCGTCAGCGTGACATGCTCCAGAAGGAAGTTGAGGCAGCCGTCCGCATGAATAGATGTGGTAGTTGTGTGTTGGGTTGGCCACAGACGGCTGGCAGATGTTTTCGTTGAAGCGTGTGGCTGGTGCGCAGTTGGGGGAGTCCGTCGCTCCGCACTTGCCGACGCTGAACCCGCTGGTCTCGCAGGCCCAAGTTTGGGATTTTTGGCTTACTCGAAGAGTCAGCTTCAGAGTCCAGCAGCTGCCTGCCCATTCAGGACCCTTCCAGAATTTGCGGTGTTTGTGCTGACCTCAATGGACATGACTCATGACAGCGATAGATCGCGAGATGCTCGCAGATTCCAGAGTCAGGGCTCGACTAAAGACTGCACTTTGCCCCTGAAAAGCAAGCGCTTGCGGCTGCCGCAGCATCTGAAAATTTGTGACCGGGGTACCCAAAGACTTTGACTCAGGTCGACGCACAATCGTTTTCGAAGGTGCTCTGAAGGTGTATCCTCAGAAAAGATAGCTGCCTGCCCAATTTGCCGCACAACGTCCAAAGTGACAGCACTCGGCTGCTTTCGCACAGCAGGCCAGTTTAGTTTCACTGCCAGGTCAAGCAAATGCTTGCCATTTGGCAATGCGCATGATTTCAGCATGCATGTATGACAAGACTTGTTGGTGGGCTGCTGTAACGAGACAAGCTTCGTGCAAAGGGCGCAAGGTGTGAATGCTCTATGATATGCCGCTGGACCCGGCTCAGTCGGAACTGCGAACTCGTCACCTTTGCCAGTGCAGCACTGCAACTCGGATGTGCAGCTGGAAGATGTGTTCATCCCCGGCTGCTGAAGTCACCGTGGCACATAGTGCAGGCCACCATGACCGACGTTCCGCGCAATGTGGCTGAGGGCACCGAGCGTGCATGGCTCTCAGGTCTCTGCATCGGAGAATGCATTCGAGATGTTTTTGGACTCTAAGTTGGCTGTGTGATTACACATCCTCCACGAATGGTTGACTTGAGAACGGATACCCAAACTTCTGTTTTGTTGTGGTCGCCTGGCTATCGCTGTTGGTTCTGTTCTTGCGAAGCTGCAGCAGAGCTTGTGATGGTCCTGACTGTGCCAAATGAGTCCGTCAGGTCAAGAAAGGATTGCCGGCCATGCTGAAGGGTGGTGTTTTGGAGCTCAGCTTCGAACGTCGGTGGTGACTGGTGAATTCCAGTGGATGGCACTTCCAAGGTGATCATGGACGTCATGAACAAGGAGCAGGCAAAGATAGCAGAGGAAGCAGGAGCTTGTGCCGTCATGGCTTTGGAACGTGGCTCGGCTTGCGCTAGAGCCCTTGTGCCCTGCCTGGGCATCACAAAGCAAGCGGCGGTTGTCCTCTAAGGCATCCCAGCGGACATCCGCCAGAGCAAGGTTCGAGGGAAGAGACGCCACTGAGGGCCGGAATCGTGACGTGTTGCACAGAGCTGGTGCTCAGGGCGTTGCCCGCATGTCGGATCCGAAGATGATCAAGGACAGCAGAGCAAGCCTAAAGAATGCTCAACAGAAGCATCGAAGGGTTCACGCTACATGAAAGGAAATCGTCAACTCGGTGTCTATCCCTGCCGGGCGCTCATTGCGGAAGCCGCCACAGGGCCGCATCTCCAGCTGCTCGTTTTCCGCATTTGTTCCAGTAGTGGTGCCAGGTGATGGCCAAATGCAGGATTGGCCATTTTGTCGAATCCCAGGTGTCGTGTGCAAGGGGAGGAACTTGTTGTGGGAAGAACACAGTTGCATGAAGGGCACCCCTGCCGGGGTTGCAGGTCCTGCAGCAGATTGGTGTCGATTGCATCGACGAGAGCGAAGTCCTGACTGTCGCCGACGAGGTCCATCTGATGCATCTTCAACCCGAAAAGCTAGTTGAGTGTTACACAGTCGATCGTTTGAGCGAATTGGGAGGGCAACCATGTCAACAAGACGAAGCTCTCGACTCAGCATGCCCAGCCATCGAATCGAAGTGTCGAATGCTGCAAGATGCTGCAATTCTGCCGGCGGCAATGGTCTCCTGCTCGTTTGCGAGTTTGAATAGTCGAAGGCCATGTTCTTTTGGACAGGTTGAAGGGGTTCGATGGTTTGGGGACGTCGAGACGCGCAAGCCGGAGAGAGTCAGATTTCGAATCCTTCAACATGTCAAGCTTTCGAGCTCGAGCGGCTGCTTCAAAGTCTCCAAGCCTCAGCCAGTGCCGATTTCGATCGACGAAAGCTTGAACGTTGAAGAGAGATGGACTTTTGAAGTTCTAAGTCTTAGTTCCAGGGTTTGAGAGTTAGAGCGTTTGAGAGCTGAAACTTGATGACAACGTTTGAGAGCTTGAAGGTTCGATAGTTTCAGAGTTTCAGCGATTGAACCTTCTCGATCGATGTTCGCTTCGTGGGTTGCCATTGATTGAAGTGTGCCGAGGGCGAAGGTTTGAGGGTCCGCCGAGTTCTGATTCTGAAAGTTTGAGAGGGCGCATGTATGAAAACTAGGTCAAGAAGGCTGGCATCCAGTCAGGTGGATGTACGCTGAGTTAACCAACCCCCTGACAAATCCGGCAGAGGGTGTCCAAGAAAATCTGCACACAGTGTCCAGCCAGACCCCCAGCCAGGAAAACTCGTGCACACTGCCTCCTGTGTGCCGATTGTGTGCGAATTTTCTGGTTTTTGTTTGCGTGGTGTGTTCGGCTTCAGTTTTCGAAATCAAAGCAGCAACGATGCTTACGACACCATTGTCGAGCCTGCGTAGAACAGCGCAATCTCTACAACTTTGCGACTGCCTCCACTCCAAACGGCACGTTTCATCTTCTGAAATGTTTCCGATACTGCAAACTGCCAATCTCTTAAGCTCGGATCGTTCGAACTCCTAAGCTCCACGGCATTCACTATCTGAGGAGCTTAAAGAGTGTAAGTTCGAAACTTCAAACTTTCAGAACCCGCGAATGTCCAACCCTCCACACATTCGATCCTTCGAGCTTTGAGTCTTTTGATCTCGAGTCCCTGAAGTTTCAACTTGCAAATTCCACAAAGCAGAGATCTGTGGAGGCATCACGCGGATGCACCCACGCCATGCCGTCCATGCTGTGGCAGCTTCAGACTTTCAACTTGATTCCCTTTATTTCTCGTTCAAACCTTCCAATTTCTCGACTCATTCTCGCTTTCAAGCTCGAACTGTTTCATCATTCGAACTCCGATCGGTTTGTTCGTGAGCCTCCAAAGCTACGTACTCGTGCCCTTCACGACAGAGTCTCACAGCTTCAATTCTTCGAGTTCGATATATCCATCGATTGCATTGTGGAGGGTGACGACCTGTGGTGCCAGGGTTTCGTTAGAGACGAGGGTGCCTCGACAAAGTCTCAACGTGGTCGCTTGAACTTCGTCAGACCTTGTTGAGCAGATTGGGACTCTCTTGTCTCTGCAAATCTGGCAAATCTCAGACTGAGGTTCAAGGTGCCTTTCGTGCCGCGCACTCGGCATCCGAGCTGTTTTGGCGTGAGAGGCTCGGAAAGCCTGAGGTGCGGCTGCCGAAACTTGGGCGAGGCGCTGCGCCGCATCGCCGAAGGCTGGGCGATGCTCAGCGGTGTTTTGGGTTAAGGGGGTTGGTGGTATATATATATATATGCACTACATATTATATATTATATATTATACTATATTATGTATATAGTTATACTATAACTTTTCATAAGGAACCCCCCCAAAAAGTAGTATTGGGCTCTTTGTGCGTTCTGCAGGCGCCAGCATGATCCGCACGAAGGGTGAGGCCGGAACCGGCGACGTCGTGGAGGCGGTGCGCCACATCCGCACGCTGCACAAGGAGACACCCCTTTGAAGGCTGAGAACCCCCCATGTAAGACTCGGGGGTTCTCCAAATGCAAAAAAGAGCCGAGTCATCAAAAAGATCACTTCCATCTTCCTTCATTCCTTCATAATAGTGGCAGAGATAAGTTACAGAAGTTTTGAACAATTGCTGATAGTTTCGTTGTGATGTGACCTAGGTAAACCAAGCTTGAGCACTTGGATGCACAGTCAAGAGTAATGAACGCAAGCGGAAGCCATGGAGACCAAACCTTTCCAATGCTTTCATTTCGGGCGGTATTGTCACTCGAGGAGAACCGGAACCGCCGCGGTGCGGTTTGATCCATTGCACAGCAACCTCGTTGTTGCTGTCACTATGACCAACCATGTGGGGGGTGGGGGCTACATATCCCAATGGCGCGTGTCAAAGGCAACTGACGAGAGGTGGAGCGCTTCTCGCGGCAAACGATGCTGTCACTGGCCGCTGGCCAGACTTCCCCGCCATTCTTCGTCTTTTCAGGAGATGCGAATGGTGCAGATGATGGATGACGACGAGCTCTTCACCTACGCCAAGGAGCACAGCAGAACATGGGGGGGGGTTCTTTTGGTCATGAACAATCATGTGGGCATATGTTTAACGCATAGCCAGCCAGGTGGTAAGTAAGTACTTTAGATTACTGATGATTACTGTACGTCAGACGAGTGAGGGTTGTTGTTGTTGTTGCTGTTGCTGTGTCTGTTTCTGTCGTCTTCGTCGTTGTATGTCGTTGTCGTTGTTGTTAGCACTGTCAGGTTTTGAATGATTCAAGGTTGGCGGTGGTGGGTGGAAGTGCATGATGCAAGGAGCTTTTCGTTCGTCTGCACGAAATTGATGTGGTGTGATTCTGCCGGCACACTCACTCTCTCCCACGCCAAAGACGCGTTTCAAGGGTCGTTTCGTTGGGCAAGGAGGCCCCAGATGCTCGCCGGCCAAACAACTCGGCATGACTAGTTACGAGTCGACAGCTAAGAAGAGTTCTGTGAAGCCACAGAACTTCGTCAGTCGACTGGTCAACAGATCGAGGTTGAGAGACGCTTGTTGCATACTTCAGATCTGCGGTTCACGAAGTGAGTTCAGCAACAACTCGGTAAAGAAGCTGTTCTCGAGCATTCTCGAACCATGCTGACGAATCCAGCGGTTCGTTCTGAGCCAATCACGTAGCAGCTGCTGTGCCTTTCCAAGGAAGTCAAGGTTCCAAGGCAAGCCACTGCTCACAGGCGACAAGTTATCGCAGAGAAAGAAGCACCAGTCTATGCAATGCTGAAGTGCCATCTGCCATAGAATCTCAAGCTCCCTTCGTGATCTTCAGGTGAGCTTGGCACATCTCAGAGACTTGAAGCCACTCTTTTTTGCGCAGATGCTTCTGAGATTGGAGCTGTACATAGGCCAAGAATCGCAGACCCAGGCGATCTCACATGACTCCCAGCTATGTAATGCAACAGATTCCTTGGGGCACGGGCAGGTAGTATGTCAAGGTTTTCTTTCTTCTATCGCAAGCGTGGGATTTGCGACGTTCACTACGTCGAACGCGAGCCTTTCCTGCGAGACGGGTTGCAGAGCTCGAGTAGGGGACGCAGTGAAATCGCACTCTTTATGTCAACGGTTGGGTCGTGAGAGGCAACATCCAGCTTTGCCACATCTTCCAAAATTCTGTTGACACAGATTTGCGGATATGGTTGTCTTGTTGAGCGACGGCACACATTTAAGAATGAGACGTGTGGCAACCCCTCAGGCTCATGCTAGTAGCCCTCGACATGCACCAAGTTACAACCGTCTGTTCTCTGCGACGCAGGAGATTGGTGCTCCCATCGACCTCTTGCAGCAGGCCAGGTCATGGTCTCGCCGGCGTCCCTGCGCCTCACAAATACTCTTCTCTGCCTTTTTTGCAGGTCAAGAAGACAGGAAAGCTGCCAGCAAACGCCTCGTGTAAATGTCACGAGGAGTCTTTTAGACGTGTGCTTCCGATCACCAGCCCAGGTTGTGAACTTCGCGGCTGGTGGGGTTGCCACTCCAGCAGATGCTGCCTTGTGCACTTTGGCATTCGATCATGACCCGCCAGGATCTCATGCATATCACAGTGCGTCTACCCATTGTGAGGCATGCAGCTTGGAGTCGATGGCGTGTTCGTTGGAAGCCGAGGGGTATTCCTCGGGCAAGTGTGCAGTTGTTTAGGGCAGACGCGCCCCGACGGAGGCAACATATTGCCAGCAATGGGTTTCATGTTCTGAGGTGGGTAGTGGCATCTTCAAGTCGTCCGATCCGGCCAAGCGTGCCCGGGCCATCGTGAAGGCGGTTTGAAGTAGAGTCACAACATTATCTTGTTGCAGCCTGACATCACGCAGCCAGGCCGTCACGCACTACAACGATCCTCAGGTGTGCCCGGACAATCTGTTGTTGAGGATTGGTACGAGGGAGAATGAATGAACAGCAATGCAAGCAGGTGGTGGCCGAGGTCTCGGAGGATCTGGGAGAGGCCATATGAGCGAACACGGAAACCGAGCCAGGATAAGGGCTGAGCGAGCTTGAGAGAGTCGCAGGCAATGACGGGTATCAACTGCGATGGCCTTGTAACACGCTTTGCGGACAGGGAGGGTCGGGGGCCTCGGCGGATTGGCCCTATCCCAACGCTGGAGTGTGCCAAAAGTGGCAAAGGTGGCAACATGCCTGCGGCCAAGAAGGCCAGGATGGAGTCTTACGGAGACCACAAAGGCCTTGCAGGTGGGGGAGATCAGGATTGTGAGCCGGCTGTATGGGCATTGTGAGCTGAGTGCGACGCGGCCCAGGCACGGCTTTCTGAGAGCCCTTGCTCCAAATCTCGACAAGTTTTCCTTCTGTGCACAAGACGTGACTGTTTCATCTGCCATGGATGGTGCCCCAAACGAGGTTCCCAGTTGCTTTCCGTTTTGGGTCATATGAGGCTAGATCAGGGTCTCTGGAGGATGGCCCTGATTCCGGTCTCTGTCCGCCGGCCACGTAGTAGCCCGGAGTCTGCCGTTCACGGAACTTATCCGTGCGAGCCCACAACACAGTTTAGCAGAAGCTTCGAAGGCTGTCGTACGTCTTTTCTCATCCTCGACAGTGTAAGAGGCTCTTAATCCCCCACTCAACTTTTCTCTCTGCTGCAGCCCATGTCGGCGCGGTGGTGACAAAAAGGCGCCTGACAGAGTCACAACCGGGCGCGGGAGTATTGAACAGCTTCTGAAGCTGCAGCTCTCGCAGCCTTGCTCGAAGCACAGATCCAAAGTCTCCGAGAGTGTGACCTGTCCAATGGCAGACTCCACTCAACAGTTGGCGGTTTTTCTTTTCAGCAAGCTACTTTCACGCGAATTGCTACAGCAGGAAACGACTGTTAACCATTCCCATTGTTGCGATGAGGGGACGTGCATGTGACCGGTTGCTTGAATACAAGCACGCAGTTGAAGTGGATGGATCAGGTGGCTGCCGGGGGCTTAGTGTTTGAATGTGAACCCGGATAGTTGCATGGGTGGTTGTCAAAATTGAGGTCCCTTTCTGGGTCCCTATTATAGTACGGCACATCATGGCACATCATATGCAGGGTACCCAAAAAGTGACCGTAATTTTTGACAGCCACCCACATGGCAGTGCGATGCAGAGCCTTTTAAAACGATAAAGCTTCAATGACAACAATTCCAGACCTCGAGCTTGTGACATAGTCGGACATCCTGCCCGCAAGCTCAAGCATTCTGTGCCTGTGCACACAGTCCGAGGAACTCCTACGGAAAAGCTTGAGAGTAAGTCACTAGGACAGTGTGTCAAGAGTTGCAATTTACAACAGTCTTCCCAGTGCCCCCGAGCCAATTGCAACAGAAGCTCTCGGCAGATGTCTTGAGATCCAGCGGAGAGTGTAAATGCAGAAAGGTGAAGTGCTCACTTCAGATCGGTTAAGGTCCGGTGCCTCTGGCCGAGCTCAAGGAACCTTTGGTTCTGAAAGGGGCCTTGAGGCAGGAGCATCGCTTGTGTTTTGTATCCATTGATTGCATGCTGATGCCGACTGAGGATGCATGTAGTGCGTCACTGACAGGGACATGTCCAGGATCTTCCTGATGTAATTCCTCGCAGAAGGAGCTTGCTTTCTCGCTCGTAGGGGAGTCACGTGGCTCAAGCGGACACCGCCCGTGTCCATACCATCACGTTCCCGCCTGGATCCCTAGCCCTAGCTGTTCTGAGAGGTTAAAAGGGCATGCAGGAACAGAGATTCTGCACTGTAGCAATCCCGAGGAAGCGATTACCGGACTCCACGGTCTAGTCTGATCTCCTCTGCCGTGCCGCGGCTTCACGGCATCCACTACTCGTAGCTTGCAAAATACAAGCGACAGCTTGCAATGCCAAGGTCTTCCATGTCCGTCCTTTGCCAGCGAGTGCTGCTGCTAGCATCGGTTGCGAGTGCTGCACAGCTGCCGCGGCTTCACCCTACTGCTGCTTCAACGCTGGGCGAGGGCACATGGTGGGCCAAGGCAATGGAGTGAAGAAAGTGTGCATAGCACACAGCGACCGTGCGCATCAACGAACCTAGGTGGGTGACCACCTGGTGCACACTCCAGCCACTGACAGTGGCCTTAGCTCTAATGTTGGGGATTACTACTATGCCTACGGTGCGACCCCCGGCTCCTGCAAGCTCGTTTTAGGTCGAACTTCAAGCCATCTGGAACTTCAATCTTTGGCATTTAGCGAAGTGCGAGCGGTCGCTTTCTTCGCCCAGGTTCGCATGGAGCGTTGACAGACGAACTCCACGAGAAGCGTGTCGGAGGCGCAGGCCGCTTGCACATCTTCCACCTTCCGGAGGCCGGACCCAGCTCTGCCAGCTCTGTGATTCTAGAGAGAAGGTCGTGATTCTGTTGCTCTCTGTTTCGGCAGGGCAAGGACTCCCTGGCCACGCAGCTGCCAAAGGTGGCTGGACGCCGGGACTCCGTCAGCGCTTTGGTGCCGCGGCTGCATCTGCGGCGGTAGCCCTTTTTTCATAGAAGTTTCTGAAATTTTCAACAGGGTCCCGGGATCGGATCAGAAAATTCGGATGATCGGAGGTGCAGCTGAACCATCAGGATGCCGGAGCCCCGGAGCCGAGCGGAGGCCGTGCAGTGCCTTGGGGCCGTTCGTTGGCAGCTGGACAGGTGCTTTCAGATGCACGGCTTTTCCCGCGTCTGAGCCGCACGTACGGGAAGCTTTTCGATTTCGGAATACATCTTGACGATTCGCGTCAGGGCCTACGATGTGCCGCAGGCGCGGTATGGCACGGTCATGATGCAGCTGTGCTTCAGTCTTCCCCGCGCCAGGGATACTGTCTTGCCATGCTGGTCCGCGGCAGGATTACAGCTCCGGCTTGTCTTCGGCTGGTGAGCGCGTGGAAAAGCAGGCGCTCCGGTCAGCGCAGTTGCGACGGCCTACGGCACTACGCAGACATACGCAGACGCCTCTGCATGGCAGAGGCAGTCGACTCCATTACGCCGAGCTCGGTGATGCGCCAGCTCAAGGAGCCGGGAGCAACGACAAGGGGCTTCAGTAATGCCAGCCGAAGTGAAGGAGCTGGTGGCTCTTGGCGATGGCTCCACCCAGACTCGGACGCCTGCTTGCGCACTAACACTAACCTGACGGAAGGGCTCAGGATCCGAAGAATTGTCACCGTCACTCTGAGGAGCTACTCGAACCCAAGGGCGTCTGCCAACTCAGTTAGCTTTCTTGAGAAGAAGTTCAAGGCGCTGCACTGCCTGTACGATGTTCCGCACGTCAAGCCGGGTGCTGCCAGGAGATGGGGTACTCTGTGTGCAAGCAGCAGTTTGGAGAGCAAACCTCCGTGGTCGCGAGTCTTCAGGCAGCTACGACTGCGCGATGTTGCTCGCATGCAGCGCTTGTGGCCAGGGCAGCGATGCCGGCGCGGGCTCCGTGACCCTGGGAGGACATTACGACTCACGACCCTTCGAGGCCGACTGAGCAGCAGGAAGAAAGTGTCCGCAGACATGCGCGGGGATCTCGTCAGGGCCTAGCACCTGGCGCTGTGGACAACGGCAGTGGTGCCGCTGCGGCGGCGCATTCAGATCATCCGACTGGACGTTTGAAGATGCCCTGGACGAAACTTCAGTGCTGCGCACCCAGGTGCTGACAATTGCCAAGGCGCTGGCGGATGCCAAGGCATGTGGGGAGTGTCTCTGTGGGGTTGGGATCCGGCTTGTGTGCTGCGCGTTTGCATGTCTGCGTCTCTGCGCTGCCGACGCCGCAATGCAGTGGCTCAGAGAGCCGATGGTCGATGGTCCGTGACGGATGTCCCTCCTGGAGCAAGCTGACCGGTTTTGCCAGCACACAGGGAGGAAGCGCTGTGTGCACCTGCCTGAGGCCCGGCACGTGTTCTAGCGGAGAATGTTCATGCAAAAGAAAGCAGACAGGAAGCTCTCGACTGGGACGACCGTGAATGCGACTTGTGGTTTTACACGGACGGTCTCATGGCTGCCCGTACTCTTTGGCTCTTGCGACCTGGTCACAGCTGCATATAGTTGGGAGCAGTTGAGGTGATTTCCACCCCAGAGAACCAACTGCGGGCAACTGGCAATACTGTCGCGGCAAGGCCGACCAGCGAAGTTATAGAATTGCTCGAATCGTGTTCGTAAGCGTAAATTTGTGGAGCACTTGCCCATGTGCTGTCAGCCACCAAGGAAAGTCAACCTGGTCGAGTCTCAGTGATCACTGTTACTACGGGAGAGGCTTGACCTGAAAGCCAGGGTCAAGCCGTCACAGAAAAGAAAGGGAGGAGTGACCGTAGTTCTTGCTGCGCATCGTTCGCTCCTCTCAGGAGAGGCATCGATTTCACGAACTGCTTTTCTGGAACTTCCAGTGTCAAGTTTGGGACGACAAGGATGCTGCATGCCTCTGTATGGTGAGCTCGCTTCAATGCCTTGAAGTAAGTAGTGCGGTGTGAGACCGATTGGCAGGAGTTGATTGTCGTGGAGACCTACGAAGATGAGCCAAGTTCATTCCTGTCGGGCAAAGCTGCATGGAACAGCAACATGAAAGTCATCAGCCGCTCTGATCTGGCAGTCATGTGGGCGTCATTTGCACTCTGCTTGTTTGCCCGGCATTATAGCAACTGGAGCTCTGGATCTTGCCAAGGTTTGCAGCGGCTTCCTGGTGACGACTTGTCGATTGGGGTGAAGAGGCGGAAGAGCTGGGAGTATTTCGAAAATGCTGAAGACTGCCACGTGTAACCCTGCTTTCAACGTATTCCGCGGATGACCTTGCTCCGACCCAACTGGGGCTTGAGAAAAATCATGAGGGCCCAGTGGGTCCAGTCGAGTCAGAGACAGAAGTCAACTGATTCAAAGGTGCACCCAGCACTCTCATGTTCGCTTTTTCTGGTGAGTCCTCACTTTGCTTGCGACCTCTGTCCGCAACTGAGTCCAGGAAGCAGGGTAAGGAATCCATCAGGTTTCCTTGGTGGCTCCGGTCCGGAGGCAAACCCGCGATCTGGGAATCCTCTTGCTTTATCTGGCTGTTTCTAGCTTCATCCGGCTTTCTGGCATTTTCAAACTGAAAAGCAGGCTTTTGTAGGAGGCTCCAAAATGCATTGCCGGACCGGACCTCAAGACTTCGAGAATGGCTCCGATACACAGAGAGATACGATGTACGACGATACGGATCCCAGCTCCGCCTCAGCATCGGTGGCGCAATACCGGATCTCCGCATAAGGACAGTTTTGAGTTGTGTTTGGGATTTGGCTCGGACTTGGGCCCGCGGCCCTGAAAGCACAAATGGCTTTCGCCGAGAATTCGGCGACATGACAGGAGGTTGAAG